CAATAATGAGAGATATTGATTCTTAAATTAAATGGAGTATCGTTGCGAAAAGTGTGCACGAGAGATTCGCTGTTGGAAATGAATATAATAGATTCTGATTCAGACATACATACATCTATATTGTAGGTATACGAGATCGGGAGCGGAAGCCGCATGGGATGGGACACGTTCAAGTTCGTACCCCCGCTGTCTCTTTCATTCGCTAACAAGTTCACGCAGCTTTGCTATCCATCATTTATAAGCTTCGACGCTCAACTCGTTGTCACGCATTGCAAATTATATAATTTGATCAACGCGCAATGCAGATACGTAGCGATGCACTGCAGATGTGTTTGCTAAACTTGTTTATGATTTGCTCGAAATAATAATAATTATAAATACCGCTTATGAACGAGTAAAAAAGGCAAGCGGACTATTAATTAATACGATTGGCTAGCTGGAATCCCTCGGAAGAGACAACGTATTTCCATTTACTCGCGATTTTTTTCGTCGATCTATTCAGCAAAGTTGGCTAATTACTTAGTTATAAGCTCGATTTTTGAATTTGGAAAAAGAAAGACTTATCATTGATTTCAATTTCAATAGTGAGCTGCATAGCTTTATATACGTATAAGCGAGTTTTAGTCAACTTACTTTCTTTTAAAGAAACGCAAAAAAGAATATATATGAGGGTCTACACCGCACATTTACGCTCGTACATTGATATATATGAGATGAAAAGTATAATATAAAGCTATTTGTATTATTTCGAAATAATTCTTTGCTCAAGCCCCAGTGAGAGGCTAACATAGTTGCTGCTCGCATATATGCGCTCCGGCGCATACTTTGAAAGACAAAAGAGATGTATAGCACTTTTTACTTGTACTGAAAGCTCGCACGTTTCTCTTTTCTCACGCGCGTGCAAGCTGAGTTATGAATTATCTCGCGCATGATAAAAGAACTTTCGCTTGAGTTACGCACTGAGCTCGAGAGCATTCACGATGATTTATTTTAAATGCGCGTCTCGAAATCAACCTAAAATTCAAATTACCTCGTTGCGGTACACCTTTGAATAAGTGCACACTTTATTATACACTTATAAATGTTGGAAATGTCATAAGCAATACCACTCAATATTGATCGACTGAACGAGTAACAATATTATATCTACGAGAAAATCTAAGATACATACTTTGACTGGCAAAAAAATCACTTTCTACGAGTGATGCTCCTTGATTTTTAATAACGGTTTGATAAAAGCTCTCAACAAGCGCCATCTTAAGAACTTTTTTTCAAAAAAAAAAAAAAANCATCTTAAGAACTTTTTTTAAAAAAAAAAAAAAAAAGAAAAAAAAAAGGATACCATGAATTGTAGAGTATCGATTCGGCAGGTCAAGAACGAAGTTTTTAATTAAAAGAATACGAGAATCCGATAGAAAAACGAGTTACAAGGTAAAAAATTGTTGCCGTGTTTGAAGTTTTCAATTCGATTTTGCACTTGATATACTTTGCGAAGAAATGATATTTTTTCAAAACTAGTTTATTTTTGAAAGAAAACTATTTGTATTGAACATTGCGTCAAGATTTATGTGTAAATTACCCGCTTCATTTACGCGTAGTTTATTTTTTTAAGGGGGGGGGGGGGGGGNGGGGGGGGGAGGGAAGTTAAACTCGCTGTTCAACTCTCAGGTACACAAAAAGGCAGGTATTATGAAGCAATTCTTACAGCAAGGATCGGCTAGTTATATTACATATTCAATTCGTAAGCACGTAATTACAAGTTTATTCATTTTGCTACGTAGGCTTCAAAAGGTTAGCACACGTCAAGTTATGAATTCATACCAATTTTGAAACTTACCCCCAACACCCCAAATAAACTCAAAACTTGTTAGGCAAGTTCACTCTCGCACTCGTGTACAGCAGACACGCAGACGAACTTTGAATCTACCTCATCGGAAAAGTGGATTAAGCCACTAAAAAAAAAGTAGTTACTTCGTCGAGCAATGAAGACATCTTTCCCCGAAATTCTCATAATATGTAGAACAGAATAATAGTTTTCACATTACATTAAACGTTTTACATATATTGCACTCCTATCTCCTCCTTCATTATATTTAAAACTTGGTAATTGACTGTACTACAAATACCTTTTCAATCATATGAACTAGCTTCTAAAATTTAAAATTATTCAAATTTTCATAGTGTCGATATAATTTTCGGTCCTTTTACTCAAAACTTTGTGATGATTGTAATCGACTTTCATTTTATGAAAAAATATTTCGAAGCACTGACATTTTTCCTCGTAATATTTTCCTCTTCAAAAAGTTCACCGTAAATATTCGATGAACGTTTTATTCTTTATTTGAGGTTAGCGTAAGACGCAAAATTTAATTGACACAGTAAATAAATCAAGTGATTCACTCCTGCAGCGTGTGTACTGTAACATTTCTCTCTGACTCTCTTTCGTGTCTAGGTAAGTCTAAAATCTTTGTAAACTCTCGGTGGGATACGCCAGAAGCATCAGCGGCAGCCGGGGCCACACTTTGACGAAGCCCCTCTTTGAGCAGGCACCGAATTCTCATCACGCTCGTCGCGTTATCGCGAGTCTGATGCATATAACGCCAAGGGCTGAATTTTCAGAGAGAAATAGCATGTATATGCATGTGCGAGTATGTGTGCTGCACGGTGCACGTGTGTACATATATAATAACGTGACGCATGCCATAAAGAGCTCTTGGCATGCGCACATGCACATATATAGCATCGGATGTGTCGCTCTCGTACATGTGCAAGATGAAAAAAACAGTAAATGGAAATTTCATAATGAAGAGTGCCACAGACATTGCTTATTTAAGCGGCAGCCTCTTATTTAATTATAATGATGTTCCATCATTTTTAATCGATCCATTTAGCGGACATGTTAAAAGAGACTGAGTTTCAAAAAAGTTTTTACAATTCAAAAACGCCTTAATAGCTGGATCAGTTTTACCGTGCAGGGTTGCAGCTAGGCAAGACTAAAATAGAGATAAATGAAGCCATTTAACGCATCATCCCGCTATACTGTTTGCACACAAACACGTACACATCGCTCTCAAGCTTTCTTTGCCCGTGCTTTTGACCATTTGTCTTTTACGTCAAGTAGTCTTCTTTCTTTTTTTTATTTCTCGCGACTCTTTTCTTTCCCAAAGCATCTGCAAATGCTTCGATGATAATTTGCAGATGTGCGCGTTGTGTTTCTGCGTGCAACCCCGTGTGACGCACGCTGCGCAAGTTTCCGCATTACTTGGTAAAAAATTGTCTCTTCGAAACCATTAATATCTGTCTCGACGAATCTGTACGAGTGAAATACGAAGCTCTCTCTCCTCCAGAGGGCGAGAAAAATATTAAAATTTGTCTGTAAAAAGAACCGTTGGAGTGGCCCTTCACGGCACTCTAGTTCTTGTTTGCGCGATGTTTTCGATGCGAGCATGAATAATTGAAAAAAATACCTTTTTACTTGGATTGCTGCCGTGTACTAGCGAGAAATGCATTTAGATGTAAATTTTGTATTTGATTCTGACCAAAAATCTAGAAACGCTACGAACAGTTATTACTTGCTATCAGTAAGAAACGAAACTGTTGCATTTCTACAGGTCGTAAAATAACTAGTCAATTTTCATAGGTTTTGCAGAATTGGCGAAAAATTTTAAATCGATAAAGTTGAAGCGTATTTTTTGAACATTATAATACATTTTCTTTGCGTGACTATTCTCATTGCTTTTTCTACCAATTAAAATACTGCAAGACAATTGGATTGTAACATTCGAAGTCGCATTTCTTTTTTATTCATTTAGTTTCGATTTGACCCATTGTACAATCGAACACGGGTAAAACAAAAGAGCTTGCGTGGCATCCTGAGTGGTTATCTTCGCTAAGAGAATACTGAAAAGGATATATAATCCGTATAAACGAAAAAAATTAAATTTTTTGATAATCAAGTTTTTATTCGTTTTAAATTGATGAGACGAGAATTTATTTTTCTCAGTACTCTTAATAGAAATTTTAATTAGTTTTTAATACAGCTTATTTACTGCTATTTGAAAATTGCAACATCATCAATTCTCAAATACTTGTTGACATCGGCCCGATCGCAGGCGGTGACATTTACAAATACGTATAACGAATTTTGCAATTCGCAAAACCAGCCACAAACTGCTTTTGGATATTCAATTCGAGACTCGGCTTGCACAGCGTATAGAACACAATGCTAGATTTCATTTCCTATTTCGACCTCTTTTGTAGGATAATACGTACTGGTCCGTTCGCGCAACTGTTCCGCATAGAAGACATTTTCGCGCTTCGAAGCCAAGAAAGGTTACACGGCAGCAGTAGCAGCGACGGCGGCGACACTAGCGCTATAAGCGTATACCAGGTCGCTCATATAAAATAAGCGAGTTATGTTATCGCCGCGCAGCTCTAGCTTTGGGCGTATAAGAGAGCTCTGGGCACACGCAGAAACGCGAGCCAAGAGACCATATCGCTGGAAATTATGCGGGTTGTAAATCGATGACGTACGGTACTGCTTCTACCCGTGCCACCACACTCCAACTCGTATACGTATATATACCTACGTATATGGGCGAAGTACCTACGCGCGTCGCTGTAATACGCTTTTGCGCGCAGAGTCACAGAGCACGCGCGCACAAGCGGAGGAATGCAGTTTATCGGCATCGCTTATATTTTTGGGGAGGAGAGAAATATACCACAAATGTTATGCTACTGCTGTTTGTTGCCGTTGAGCTCTTGAGGAATAAGTTTAAATCGTCAAAGCGTTTTAATGAATTCCATATATCATCGATAAAAGTATATACGCAGGGGATAGGCATTAAAAATTTCACCCAGAATTACGCGCGCTCCACAGAGTTTTACCCGGTTGAGAGCGCGTTAAAAGCTCAGATATTTATGATGATTTAATTAATTATTATCACTGCTGAAAGTATAAAGTTATAAATCATATTGATTAATTGATTTTAATATTTCAGCAACAGCGGCGTGGTTGAGGCAAGAGCAGCCCTGTCCGATCGCAGGAGACTTTTGCATGAACGGTGGTACTTGCCTGTTTTTCGAGACTGTCGGGGAACCAGCCTGCAGGTAAAGTATACATACATGAGCTAACACACGTCAACCGTGTTAACCCAAAACAGGCAATTGTCCATAATTTAATGTTACCCTATTTTTTATTTGTAACAGCGAATTCGAATTCCTTATCAAATTTTACACAAAAAAACTTATTCAAATTTATTTTATTATTTAAATTATTATGAAATGAATTAATTATTTTCAAAGTAATTTTTTGGGTTATCGCGGCTGATGTAATTTAGCATTTATATAAATCATTATACTCAATCAACTTAAATAATACTAATGAAATTATAATAAGCTGCGGCTATGCGGCGAATCGAATCACAGTATCGTATACGTGACGTACTGATTTATTTATGTTTTTTTTTCAACCGAGATGCAAGACGCAGATAAGTTAATTCTATATACTATAATGAAGCGAAGAGAAAAACACCAACAGCCGGGGGTAGCTCTTTTTCATCTTATGGTAAATCTTGTTTATTATTACAAAACAAAACTCAGCCAACTCTTTTGATCTCCTTTGGTTTTAAGTCTCTCATTTGAATTCCCTGCTTTGTACATGAGATTCTCTTCTATACGCGTATCTCGAGTTTTCACGAACTGTATGCATTCGCCTACTAGGAAAATACAGAGAACTTTAAGAAGAAAAATCATTTTCAGGTTTGATCGAAGTCCGTTCAGCCCTTCATGTGTACCCTGTATAATACTCACACATGCACGGATCAGCAAAGATTGACTTTTGAGTGCAATTCTTATTTGCTATACACAAGGCTCTCCTGTGTGCGCAGAGCTTCAGCTCCCTCCACTACCGTGTACCAGCTATTTCTTCTTGATTTCGTACTACTTCTTTTTACTTTCATCCTGACTTTAACATTTCTCTCTCTCTCTCTCTCTCTCTCTCTCTCTCTCTCTCTCTCTCATTTCACTTAAAGTAGCTCTCCTGCAGCAGACTTGAAACTAACTTGGCCACAGAGCGGCTTCCTAAAAATTTCCCAATCTTCTTGCCAGTGCTGTGTTCGCGCGCAAAGAAAATTGGCCAAAGCCAAGCGTTAACCTTCCTTTCTTTGCCTCACTCTCTCCTGCTATACTCTCCGCATAGGCCGGGTAAAGTTTTTTTGCGAACGATTCGCCTGATTCTTACATATATATACACGAGAAGGAGAGTAATCATTCTGCCGCGGAAAGTGGAAAACAAGTAGTTGAACGTAAATGGAAAAAGCTCATGTATACTGTACATGGTTTTTACAAGTGAAAAATTATGCCCCCCCCTCCATCCCTCTCTACTTCTCTCTCCTTCGTCAGCTCGTAGGATGTACCAAAGTGCTAAATGATTTTAAATTTGATATTGATTTCTCATTTGTTGTGATTCACGACCCCTGCGAGCACTTATATTCATCAATCGAATTAACGTTACAGCTTTTTGTTTGGCTCTCCAAACGATAACAAGCCATAGAGAGCCGAGTGAGCGGACCACAATCATGAACTGCGACAGCAACAGCAGCAGCGGTAGTTGCAGTGGCGTGGCCAATAGCATGAGCTTTCAACCCGATGATCGATCGACCTTTGTTGTTGTTGTTATTATTATTATATAAGCCTGCCAGCAGATAATACTTACACACACACGCGCCCGTAAACGACTCATTATTTTTCTATCACGCGCTTGCGAAATTGCAAAGAACGTGCGTTGTTAACCATGCGCTGGCTGCTTTGGGATGAACACTCACACATGTACACTGCAGTGGAACTGCGATGGCGTCAGCTCAAAATGAAAAAAAACTGGAAGAAGAGGCGAATTCAATAAAATGTTAATTTTAATACAGGGGATGTTCTGATGGCTTCCGAAACCCACCAGGTGCGCGCGTATGCATTAATCGGAATTCCGAATTTACCTTTTGTAAATTATTTTCGAATCTGCAGTGTCGCTCGCTCGCTCGCCGTGCACAGAGCAAAATGATACGCGCCGAGCGCGCTTTTATGTCATACTCTATCGTCTGACATGTTTAATTAAAGCAGCGATAATTTAATCAACGAAAAACATATACAATGCGTTTCGTGTGCATCCGCACGGCTATCTACAGGATACTTTTTTATCAAAGGCCAGCAGAGCGACAGCAAATTTGACGACTCTCTGTCATTGATTTAATTATGTGTACGTCATTAAAAAAGTTGCGGATGAAGGATTTGTGTACGTGTGGTTTATTACACTTGCAGTGAAATGGAAGTTTATTTTTTATCAACAAGACGTAATCAGAGCACTCGGACCTTCTCATAATATTTTTATCATTTTTCATCAAGATTGTAAATTAAAATATTAAAATTTAATATAATGTCAATCACATGGAAATAAGCTGCTGAAAATATACTTTTAATTAGTTTTATAAGCGATCGATTGTTAATACGTGTCGCTATTCTTAACAAAGTAAAACTCCGAGGCGTCCTTAGCGCATTTTCAATGGAAACAGCTCGACTGCTAGTTTCTGTATACACACTGTATGCGTACATATACTTGCCACATCGAGTCGTTGCTGGGTATATAATATACATTATATAACACGATGTGTAGCACCACCACCTGTACCACCGAGGTAACATTGCGTAGTGGCCAGGAAACTCGTTAAACAAATTTGGCCAAGCTGTAGAGCAACAGCAGCTGCAGCAGCCGGCCCAGAGCGCGATATGATAAAAGAAAACGCTTCGGCGTGGGTCTGCGCGTGTGTGTGATGTGTATGCACACGTACGATATACGTAGCAGGTAGTGCCTCGGAGCCTGCAAAGTAAAGGAAGCTGTTCGCGCTCGCAGTAACCATTAGGGGGGACTTGGTGTGTAAACAGTGTTGCAGCAGGGCTCGGGCATATGGAAGAGAGCAGCTGCAGGTCAAACGTGCCGTGTAGTCAAAGAGAAACGAGTGTTGAAACTGTATGAGCATGCTCGCACACAGCATCCCGCAGTGTATTCTGAAAAGAGGAGTCATCAGCGAATATTGTTGTTGCCGTACTGTGTGTCTCGCGCCTCTATCTCACCTCGACGTTTCTACGTGCTTTCTCAGCTAGCCAAGCTCACAGGTGTTGGGTTCGAGCGCACGCCCAGCTGCGATTAAACCGCACGCGCGAGCCTGGAAGACGTACGACGAGCTGTTCGATTTTTATATTATACACATACTGAATTTTAATTGCGTTGCTTCGGATAAGCATGCGTTAGAAAAATGGGATACGATAAGCTCCTTCGACGGATTTAATATTCTGATACGATGCGCCTTATGCACCGATGACGACGAGGAGATGCCAGCTTTTGATGAAACGCTAATGTGCCCGTGCAGCGTACGAGTATGCGAAATGATATTATAATAACATAATTTCTTAGCCGGGCTACGATGCGAGTCGACGTGCCTGCAACTGACGCACGCATATGCATGTACGTACGCACGCGTGTATACACACGACGTCGCATGCACACGTATACACTTAGAAACGCACACCCACGAGCTCACAGACACCCACTGAAGAAAGTCCATAATAACAATAATAATAATAATAACAGTGATAATAATAATAATAATAATAATATGAAAACCGTGGCACGGTAAAGAGGTCTGTTCATTATTACGCTTATGAAATATCTGTCAAGTTGAGAGTGAAAACTTGTGAAAAATACAGAGGCCGTGCGCATACGTAACAACCGTACGACGTTGAAGCGAACACCGCGCATGACGTGCACAAAATACTTTTTTTCTCCGTGTACTTGCAATCCGTATAAAAGAGAATGAGATTCGTTTTTCAGCCTTTAATCTGCGTGTACGAGATCGGATCGTAATAGGACTCCTATCGTACCCACAAGACATAATCAATTTCCAAGATGCGTTTTCAGCATACATACTGTAATGGAAAAATCATCTGCCACTATATTTGTATCTACATATTCAGTCTGCATACTGTCTCCGCTGCTGTTAAGGCGATGAGAATGCAAAAATAAGTATCTTATAATTTTTTAGGTGTTTCGCGAGTTACTGCGAAAATGAAGACCACCGGTTTCAAAAGCAAGTACATACGAATAATGCAGAAAACATGAGTCGTCTAATTGCAATGCTGGAAAACAGTGGAAACGAGCGAGAATATCTTGTACAGCCGCGTACATACGTGTACATTTCAGGAGGCAAAGCGGGGAAAAAAAAGAAAGATTTTCAAGAGAAGCATTACATTTCTGTGGTAAATTTGAAACGCACCCGTATCCTGGCGTACCAGTGGAATATCATCGTATTTAGTCAGCCGCGTGTATTACTTGCGTTACGCTTATAGAAAACTATGTGCCAACAGCGGGTACTGAAGTTAAAACGACTAACGCGCTAGAGAAAATGAATGGAAATTATGTAAACACAGCTGAAATGGCATACGTTTATACGTTTATAGACGTATATATACGTTCATAGACCTCCATGAAACGCGGTGGAAAAGTCCAAGTGATTATTGATACTTGAAATAATAATTTCCATTAAAGTTAATTATTGGTCCGTAAAAATAGCTTCAAAGACAGACGAGAGAGTCGGGCTCGTTTGGCTTTCAGCCGTATAATATATATCATCAGCGGAACAAAGCATCGAGTCTCTCGCGCGGGACTAATAGACGAACATATCCTAGTGCAGTCGGTATATAACTATGTATGCAGCGGCGCTGGTTGTAGCTCTCAGTGCGTTCAAGTATATATAGACGCGCGCGGCTGGATGAGATTTTAGTACCTCATCGTCCATACCTCGTGGGTAAACTGTGTGGGATAATTTGCGGTTCGCACCCAATTCAAGGCTTATATACGTATGCGCTGGCTCTGCGAGTGCGCGCGTCAATCGCGTCCAGTCAGCGCTCGCGCTAAGATAAACGCGCGCCACCCTCATTAGTTCCCTTCGTGTGCGAGTACAGTGGGATTGTGTGCGTGCGAGTGGGTTATATATCGTGCGCGCCCCGCTGTATACGCTTAGTAACGCTCGGAGCAGTGGAGATCCATAGGTTAAGCGCAATTA